TGTTTAGTCACAACAGACAAAGCCATGGGCAAGAAAAAAGATGAATTCTTTTCTGTTGTGAAACTAGTTTTCTTTAAAAGTGAGTACTGAAGTGGTAAATTTTAGACTATCAAGAAAAGTTCTGAAAAAAACAAAAGCCGGGCGTTGGTGGTGCACGCCTTTAATCCCAGCACTCGGGAGGCAGAGGCAGGCGGATCTCTGTAAGTTCAAGACCAGCCTGGACTACCAAGCGAGTTCCAGGACAGCCTCCAAAGTCACAGAGAAACCCTGTCTCGAAAAACCAAAAAAAAAAGAAAAAGAAAAAGAAAAAGAAAAGTTCTGACTGGCTATTTGTTTGCTTAACTGACCAAACCATCAAGAAGTTGTGTAAAGATCTGAAGTCATGGGTTTTGAGAGAAGGTTCAGAGTTTAAGAGCTCTGACTGCTCTTCCAGAGGTCCTGTTTTCAATTTCCAACAGACACAAGTTGGTCACGATCATCTATAATGAGATCCAGTGCCCCATTTTGGCCTGCAGACATAAGTCTAGGCAGAATTCTGTATAACTGATAAATATATAAATACATCTTAAAAGGAAGTAGTTATGTAAAAGAAAAAGAACTAAACTTGCAATAAACCAAATTACTCTAGTTAGATTAATTCAAGAAATTAGCAGAATTGGATAAAATGCTGTGGCCTTTCCTAACATTATGTGTTTTATAGGTTAAGATGTGTGTCCCTAAGAAATAATGTGGGTGGTAATTGGTATGTTTTCGTAAAAATCTATGTGTCTGTAGCCCATGGCCATAAAGCCTCTTTCAAATTTCTTACAGGTATTCTGTATTATAGTTTCATTATTCCCAGTGTCTCTTTTCTGCTTCCAAGCCCCTCCCCTAATAGACTCTTCATTGTGTTCTAATACATTGCCTTTTTCCTCAGTTGTCAACATGACATAGCCTAGAGACATCTGAGGGAATATGGATTGAAGGTGAACATACATCAGAATATGTGATTGCTGTGTAATAGAGGTTGTGTTCATGATGACTGTTGTTTGAAGTCTCTTCCTTTGTGTTGGCCATATCTCTAAGCAAATGGGCCTGGGCTGGGTAAGGGAGTGAGCCTAGCATTAGAAAATGACATAGCAGCAGAGATAGCTAGGACGCAATGTTTCCTCATGGTTTACCTTTCTCTATTGCTTGAGTTTCTATACTAAGTTCCCACAAGGAAGGACAGTGACATAGTGATATCAACCAAATGAACCTGTCCATGACTTGAGTTGATTTCATTATAGAATTATATCAGAACAAGAGAGAAGAAAGAAAGTTAGAACAAAATATGGGGCATCAAAGGTAATTTTCTTTTAGTTGTTTTGCAATCTCGCCCAGGGATGCCACTGATGCATTTCAGCTTTCTTCTCCAGTTCTGAATGCTGGGGTTATGGGTCATGTATTCCTATCAACCATAATAGGTAGTGTTAGGTTAGAGTTAGAATTCAAAGTTATTCAGGCAATACGAGCTATATACCAAGGTCTGTAGAGACTTAAGTCATTAGGTTACAACCATTGTGACTTTACAGAATTTGGGGTGATGATGTGGAGTATTTAAAAACCAGTTTGGAGTAATGGTAATCAAATTTGGCTGCTTGTCAAGATTGCAAATATGCTTACGCCAGCTCACTTGACATCATCTTAGGTACTCTGATTACAATATTTAGAAGATGGGTCCTAGAAAATGGAATTTTAAATAAAAAATGTTTTAATGTTTGTTTGTAATGTGCAGCTCTAGAGAGTTTTATAATTGAACTCTACTTGGCAACATGGGAAATCTTCATGGTAGATGTGTTGTTTACTAATACATGTATTCTGTATTTTTTAAAGTTTAAGGTCTTCCCAGTCACCTGCCTATATTAATGAATGATAATATAAATTTTTATATACCTTAAATTGCAACTTCATCCTGTGGCAAATGTATCTCCCTAATATTTGCAGTAGAGGAGTTCAAACTTGTTTAAGCAACTACATAGAACAGTGGATAGAGTAAATTTTAGTAATTGTACCAACTCTTGCTTTAGATAAACGTATTTTCACAACTAAAATCTTCGCACCCATGAGAATGACCTAAGATGCTTCAATTTCTTTTCTTTTTTTAAAGTAGTTTGTTATTTAAGTTAGAAACAAGCTTGTGCCACATGTCAATCCCAGATCACTCTCCATCCCCCTCTCCCCTGCTCTTCCCACTAGGCCCCCTAGTACCCCACCCAATCTCCACTTTAATTCCCGATGAGGATGAAGACATACATGGTGGAATTCCAGTGTCTGTCATTTCATCCAGGGAAATAACTAGGCCCTCCCCCAAGAGTACAGTCTGAGAGAGCTTCCCTTAATGCGCGATGGGTACTCAAAGTCTATTTGTACACCAGGGATAAATACTAAGCAATGGCTTATAGATTGATTACCTGATCCTCCTAACTGCCACCCACATTCAGCGGTTCTGGGTGAGGCCATGCTTTCTACACAGTGTTCACTTTCTTGTATGTTTGAAAAACAATCACACAGGACAGCAAGATTGAATTGAATTTAGGTGCCTGCTATTGTTTTATGAAGTTTATTTATATATATTTGTGATTCATTAGGAAAAAGATTGTTGTTGTAAAAGTTCAATAAACTTGTATGGTAGAGAGAACCAAGTACTTTAAGTTGTTCTTGAGTGTATTGGTTTGGAGACTTTCTGTGGAAAAAGACTTTTAGTTTTTCATTCTTGATTTTATAGTCTTGACACATCATTTCTTGGCACATGTGTGTTTTCAGGTAGTTAATGTCATCAACGTTGCATTTTTAATATTTAAGTTATTGAAGTACTTGATAGATTTATTTTTTGTTTTCAAAAACTTCTCAAGTATTATTGTTTCTCTGTCCTGGTTAGCTCCAGGTCTCAATATATTAAAAACTACAGCCATCTGTGGGAACATCAGTTAAGGATGTACACCCATGAGAGTGCCTGGTTGCTGTGCCCTGAGAGTTTTTTTTTGATTAGTGATTGGTGTGTGGAATCCTTTGCACAGTGTGTGCAATATACCTAAGAAAATTAGCCTGGTCTGGATAAGACAGCAGGCTGCAAATGAGACAATGCAGAGTAGGTGAGTAAGCCAGGTCAGCATCTATTTGACTGAATAAAAACTCCCCGATACCCGGGCGTTGGTGGTGCATGTCTTTAATCCCAGCACTCAGGAGGCAGAGGCAGGTGGATCTCTGTGAGTTCAAGGCCAGCCTGGTCTACAGAGCGAGTTCCAGGATAGCCTCCAAAGCCACAGAGAAACCCTGTCTCGAAAAACCAAAAAAAAAAAAAAAAAACCTCCCCGATAGCATGATGAATTTGCACATGTGTCTCTACTTGGCAGCTATCTTTGGGGTGCTTTTGGAACCTTTAAAAGGAGGAATCTTTCTGAATGATATTCCTCATTGGCGATGGGATTTGTGTGTCTACAACCTCAATCCATTTCCTGTTTTTTTTATTCTATTGTGTTGTGGTTGACTCTAATCTCTTATATTCCATTTTGTGATATTATGACTTCATCATTATTATAGATAGTATGACAAAATGACTTTAGATACAATTAAAGCCATTGTTAGTAAATACTGAGTAATTTTGCCAGCCTTTTTTTTTTCAATTTGGTTGGTTGTATTTTTGCTTATGAAGCCAAGAATTGTGTGAATAGGGCTGGCTGTCCTAAAAATTGCTCTGTATACAAGCTAGCTTTGAATTCAGAGATTCATGTGATTCTTGCTCCCATAGGTTGAGAATAGTGATGGGCCAATATTTTGGGGGTCTTTTATGCTTTTTGTTAGATGATGGGTTTAGTATGTATGTTTTTGTACATGTCAAGGATATGTTATTTTGCTTGATTTTTGCAATTTGGCAGATGATATCATTCTCTTTCCCATCATGTCATCATACATGAAATTAACACTGCCTGAGTCTTCTGAGTCATTGGATTATAGGTGTGTGTGACATTCTTCCTACTTGTGTTTTTTATTTGTATCTTTTAAATGTATATGATTGTTTGTCTGCATATAGTCTTATGCTCAACATGTGTGCCTGGTCTTCACAGTAGTCAAAAGATGATTTTAGATCCCATGACCTTGGTATAATGTATGGGGATGTAGAGCTGTGGTCCCAAGTGTAATTTATGGCATATGAGCTCACTTATATCTCAGTGCATCAAGAGATCTTAACTTCTGAGCATCCCTCCTGCTGTGTGTTGATAATTTATTTTCAACATGTACATTGCTAGTGCTTTCATTGGTCTATGTGTAAATGCTTAAATGCTTAGTTACTTTTAGTGAGGCTAACTGAATTACAATTATAATTGGGGCATGTCAGATTTCTTGAAGATGAATATAGAACAAAATTGAATGTATAACTTTTATAGTTACTTCAGAAAAAATACACCTCTCAGTTCTTCCTATCTTTATGGTTTATTTCATTGTTTTTTGTATGTGAAACAGGATCTTAATATTTACATCTTGCTCTCCACTAACTGATTCAGTAGACTAAGTGAGCATTCACCTGATAATCAGATATACCTATTACCTTCTGAGTCTTGGGACTAAAGGCCTGAGTCAATACATCTAGCTTGCTCAACACAATATCTCTGATGTAGAATCAATCTGTTGATCTGTTTGCATGTCTATCTTTGCCTGTTACTAGGCATTTCTCTTGCAAGATAATATCCCATTCAGAGCATTCAGAAATTATAAAGGTAAAACCCCATAAAACTCCTTCTAAACTGAATTAAATATAATGCCTGTGTCATCGATTAAGTATGGGAAAGTGAATCATTATATGAGTATACTGTCAAAGAAGTATACACTTACAGTGCTGTATTTATCATGCTTTTTATAATATACTTGTATATATGGCATATTTGTAGGATGCAGTAACATATCAAGATTTGCATATCACCTTCACTCAGGAAGAATGGGCTTTGCTAGATTCTTCACAGAGGAATCTCTACAAAGATGTGATGCTGGAGACCTATATGAACCTCAATGCCATAGGTAGTTCTTTGGATTTTCTTTCACTATTTATGATAAGTGGACAACTGTTTCTTAATTATTGATGCTGTTTTGTAGTTTTGACTGAGAATGAAGAAGACTGAGGAAATAAATCACTCATATTTCTAAGTACCACTGAAGACAGTCAGTTAAATTTTAAGTAATTTTCAGTAATAAATCATACTTTTCCTGGTGCTATATTTTAGGCTACAAATGGGAAGATAATGATATCGAACAGCATTGTCGAAGTCCTCAAAGGCATGGAAGGTAATTTTCATGTGTACGCTGATATAAATTTGCCTATGTAGATAATTTAATCTATAAGGAAATTACAAAGAAATGCAGAAGTGTAAATAATCACATAATGTGCATTGATTATCAATAAATCGTCATAAGATCATATACCTCAACAGCTGGTAAGTGCATTATTTTGCAAATCCTTTTTAAGGAAGGAAGACAAGATATAAATACCTTAACACCATTTGAGTCATAGATCAATCAGAGGTCAGCTGATAAGAATTGCTAATCCATGAAGCTCCATAACACTAATATTAGAGAAGGTATACATGCTGAAAAGTTAATAAGTCTATTTCCAACACAGTGTCTTCAGTAAGTATTACCTAGTGAACTAGTGTTACTCATAATGATGTTCTGATTTTGCTAAGTACAGTGAGATTAGCCAGAATCATGATTTTAGTGAGGATGCTTATGTAAAGCCTTAATCCCTGTACCTTATGTCTATGAGGAACAAAAAGACAACATGGGTGATTGCAGTGTGGCATGCTTTTTATTTTCTAGTCTTCCTTTAGTAGTTATGTCTTATGCCAATGAGAATACAAACCATTTGAGCATGATGATATGGAAATGATAATGCACTTCTTTCCATCTCAGAACAATGAGAAGTTTCAGTAGTCTGCATGTTAAGTACAATTGTTGAACATGATGCAAGTTTAAAGTGCTTGGTTTTCCTGATTCTTGGGAATACATCAATATTTTTTTCACTGCAAAAATAACCCAACTGTACATGAAATGTGTAAATATTTCCACTTGTCATGATTCATTTTGTAAAAGTAGTTTGAGTCACAGTAGAGAAAAAATTATCAATGCATAAAGTGATTAAATGTATAAATTCTTTTAGTTCTCTTTAATTATGAGAAAAGCCTCATAGAGAAAAGGAAGCCATAAATTTTATCAAGGCAATAAAAGTACTTAGCATGAAAGGCATCAACAAACATGTAAAACAATCCTGAGTGAAGGGGAACACCATGATATAAACAAAGTGAAATAAGTTTAACTTCTGGTTAGGCTTCTAAATTAGACCAAATTGCAAAATTAATTCATAGTTATATATATTCAACAGTTTTTTAAATTTTTAAATATTGATTTCATTTTACATTTGAATGACAGTCCTCTCTCCCACCCCTCCTCTTGCCCCCTTGCCTCTTACCACCCCTGTTTCCCCTAGTCCACTCCTCTTCAGAAGTTATGAATGTAGTAAAACGTTTACATGTGTCAATTGTTCTTGCAGGCATGAAAGAAGTCCAACCAGAGAGAAACCTTCTGCATATATGCAATGTGATAAATACTCTGTATATGACAATCAGCTTCCAAGTCATGATACAACACAGAGTGGAGAACTCCCTGAATGTTATCAATGTGATATAACGTACTTATGCAGCATGTATCTTCAAATGATTAAAAACACACATACTAAAGAGAAAAGCTATGAATGTAATGAGTGTGGGAAAGCCTTTATTAATTCCAGGACCCTCCAAATACATAAAATAACACATACTGGAGAGAAACCCTATGAATGCAATCAGTGTGGTAAAGTCTTTGCTCAGCACAGTCATCTTCAAGTACATGAAAGAACACACACTGGAGAGAAACCCTATGGATGCAATCAGTGTGTGAAATCCTTTGCTCAGCAAAGTCAACTTCTAATGCATAAAAAAACACATACTGGAGAGAAACCCTATGAATGCAATCAGTGTGGTAAAGCCTTTGCTCATCACAGTGATATTCAAGTGCATAAAAGAACACATACTGGAGAGAAACCCTATGAATGTCATGAGTGTGGAAAAGCCTTTGCTCACCTCAGTAAACTTCAAGTGCATAAAAGAACACATACTGGAGAGAAACCCTATGAATGTCCTCAGTGTGGTAAAGCCTTTGCTTATCACAGTTCTATTAAAGTGCATAAAAGAACACATACTGGAGAGAAACCCTATGAATGTCTTCAGTGTGGTAAAGCCTTTGCTCTGCAAAGTCATCTTCTAAGGCATACAAGAACACATACTGGAGAGAAACCCTATGAATGCAATCAGTGTGGTAAAGCCTTCACATGTCACAGTTCTCTTAAAAGGCATAAAGTCACACATACTGGAGTGAAACCTTATGAATGCAAGGAGTGTGGGAAAGCCTTTCCTCATCACAGCACCCTCCAAAGACATAAAAGAACACACACTGGTGAGAAACCCTATGAATGTCATCAGTGTGGTAAAACCTTTGCTCAGCACAGTGCTATTCAAGTGCATAAAAGAACACATACTGGAGAGAAACCCTATGAATGCAATCAGTGTGGTAAAGCCTTTGCTCAGCACAGTACTATTCAAGCGCATAAAAGAACACATACTGGAGAGAAACCCTATGAATGTCCTCAGTGTGGTAAAGCCTTTGCTCAGCAATGTCATCTTCAAGTGCATAAAAGAAGACATTCTGGAGGGAAACACTGTGAATGAAATAACTGTGGTAAACCCTTCACATGTCACAGTAATCTTAAAATGCATAAAACCATACATAGTGGAGAAAATCCCTATTGATGGATGAATTCTGATTTTTCTTAATAATAAAATTCCAGAGTCAGATATCAAACTAAATTCTGAAAGATCCAAAAATCAGTGAAATCACTGGGCGGTGTTGGCGCATGCCTTTAATCCCAGCACTTGGGAGGCAGAGTCAGGCAAATCTCTGTCAGTTTGAGGCCAGGCTGGACCTATACCCTCCAAAACAATACAGAGAAACCCTGTCTGGGAAAAAACAAAAACAAAAATCAGTGAAATCAATTGCGAGATCTTTCCTCTATGAAATCCTCAGAACAAATGGGGTATGCTGTCTCCTAAGATCCTCACACTGAATGCCATCTCTATGAAACCTCAGACTGATTCCTGAATTTCTGTCTCTTCTCTCCATACATTCTTCTCTTCACTCAGCCACATTCCTTAGCATCTCCACTTCCCAATGCTTGGATTAATTTGGGGTACCACCACTTAGCTGATTTTCTTATAGATTAATAAATTTTTGTGAACCACAGGGTTGCCTTGAACTCACCGAACACATTTGACTCTGTCTCCCAAGTACTGGGATTTAAAGTACCATCATTGCCTCTCTTGTATGTGTAATCTGAATGGCTAGCTCTCTTCTTGAGCCAAACTTTCTTCTGTAAAGAAAAAAAAATATCACCACACATTATGAATGTAGTAAGTGTGTTAAAGCCTTTGCATATCACTGTCATCTCAAAACACATAAAATAACACATACTGGACAAATAACCTAAGAATATAGTCAATGTAAAGCCTTTTGTATGTATCAAAACCATGGGAAGAAATGACACTGCAATGAAACCTTTTAAATATTGGCAGTGTGCTAAAGTTTTCTTCTTTAGAGATGTAAACTTTGTCTGCAATGAATCTGTTGATGCCTTTGCAAATTACAGCAGTCTTGAATATGAAAAAAGATAATTAGTCAATTTATTATAAAATATAATCTTTAGCCAACACACAACCATGTTTATTCTGTAGAGGAAAGTGACTATGACAATGGTCTGTAGAAGTAAGATGATGGCTGTTTGTATATTGTTTGTACCTGTAAACTCATGGGAAAAAACAAATTTATGAAGCTCTGAGTTTCAGATAAATGGACCAACCAAGGTCCATACTCAGTCCCTGAAACTAGAAGCCGTGAAACAGAATTATTTTGACACTTAGGCAAGAGCCATAAAAACTCGCCCTGATTTTGAATTCATAGACAAAGAAACACAGTTTGTCAATGAGACCAGAGCTAGTGAAAGAAGTATTTCTTTTATGAAACAAGAGACAAGGGTTTAAAAATAAGCAGTGAAAAAACAGACTGGGCGCTAAACCAGAGTCAAAAGAGCACAATCAATTCTTGACCAATTGAGCATTAACCCAACAAATTGCTGAACTTAAAACCATCCAGTCCCTGAGCACAAAATACACACGGTATCTGAGCTTGCTCTAGCTCAGGGATTAATGGTTTTTCAGTTGGCAATTGCTGTCACATCAAATCAATTAGACTCTGTTTTCCAAGTTTCACAGAGTGAGGTGATAACTTCAAAAGAAGGCAGTCTCATGGAACCAGTTGTGAAATTCTCAGCTGGAGAGAAATATTAGGCCGTGGTTCACGTGGAAATTTCTGTTTGTTCTTCTAATCCTTTTTCATATTAAATGTTCCTAAATAGCCTGTGCTAACATTATACAAAGACATAGATTAGGAACCATACCTCAGTATTATAAATATATAATCAAGAATTAGGTTACACAGCAGGATGAGAGATGTCATTATAGGTTTGAGGAGAGATCTGGCACTGGTGAGATTTCCAGAGAACTGCAAGGATGACAACAACTGGCAAACTAAGCAATAATGAGGAGGCTACCTTAGATGATCTTCCTTAATAATGAGTTTGATGACTGCCTTATATGCCATCTTAGAACCTTCAACCAGTGACTGATAGAAGCAGAGGCAAACACCCACAGCTAAACATTTAACTGAACTCCTGAAACCCAGTTGCTGACATGGAAGAATGATGAGCAAAGAAGTCAAGATTGGGCTTGTGAAAGCCATAAATGCAGCTGGCCTGAACAAGTGGAAGCAAGTGGACACTAAACTGATGGCAGAGAGTCCAGCATGGGACTGATCCAGACCCTCTGAATGTGGGTGTCAGTGAGGAGGGCTAGGCAATCTATGGGGCTATAGGTAGTAGATCACTATCTCTGGCATAAAAATGGACTTTGGCTGCCCATTCTACATTGAGGGATGCTCTCAGCCTAGACACATGGGGGAAGGCCTAGTTCCTGCCCCGGATGAAATGACAGACTCTGGATATCCCAATCGAGGTCCTTACTCTCTATAGCAACAGAGTGGGTATTGGGTGGGAGGTTGGGAGGTTGGGGACTTGGGTGGGTGGGGGAGGATGGAAGGTAGAGGAGGCTGGGAATGACATGAGAATCCACCTTGTTTCTAGTTTAAATAAAAAATATAAAAAAGAAATATGTAGTTATCCTTAACCAAGGACAATTTTCTGTTTTGATTATCCCAGGATGATATTATCTTTTTTATTTTTGCATTACTGTGCCATGTAACAATTATGTCACCTGTTTGGGTTTGCTTCAAAAAACATCCTCTTATATTGAATCTGTTTAGAAAATCTTGTTTGAGTACTGCAAAATAAATTCAGTTTCATTCTGCCTCTGTGTTTGTCACCAGTAAATCCTTATCTACCTAATTCGAGGACCTGCTACCCATTGAACTATCATACCCAGATGGGGATAGTCCATAGCAGCTGGTGCCCTCAATGTGCTGTTCAAAGTAGGAATGCTTTCTCTTCCCTAGAGAGAAGACATTGAGATAAAATGGTGGGAAAGTAAGAATCAGGTGTAATTTGTAGTCCAAGGACAGAAACATATTTCTGGAAGTGTTGAGCCATATATTTGAAAGTAGAGGTGGTAAAACATCAAAGAAGAGTTCTGCAGCATTTTAGGATTTTGTATTGAATGTCCTTCCCTGGTTCCCATAGGAATGAAGCCTATCTTTAAATGGGTGGAAAAAAGCATGACAAGAGATTAGGAAATTTTATGAATGCCATGACCCTAATTAAGACCCAGCTCAGGCATTTTCATTATGGGTACCAATTAGAGACCTCTTTTCAGAAAAATCAGAAACGAAATTCTTTGTAGAAGAAGTACCCACATAGGATTAGGTAATTCCTCTAATGTCAGAAACTAAGTCAAATAATGCTTCTTCAACTATGCTACTCTCCTCAATGCACAGCCAGGGTGAAGGAATGATGATCAACACAAGAACGTGATTGTTTTTATGATAAAAGTACATGCATGTCATAAATAGATAATATTTTTGCTTCAGGATTGCTCTTCCTCCTCCTGCTTTTAAAGCAAAATCTGTCAAGCTTGAAATGAAGATGCCAATAGAGCATTTAAGGAGTATAAAAGAAGCCAGACAAAAAGGTAACTTATATATTTGTTTCCCAGTAACCATTGTTGAAGGAGAGACACCCCAAAGGATTATTCTTCCTTTAAAAACTCTTAAAGAACTGCAGTGCTCTGTTAAGAACATTGAGCCAAGTGCTCCATACATTTTACAGATTGTGGAAATGTTGGATAACATGTTGTTAGTCCTTATGATTGGCACCAGGACAGTTTATAATATGGAGAACTCAATATGAGGGAAGAGCAAGGGAATTGATACCGAATTTAATCTTCATGAAAAACAACTTTGTCAATGCTCTTCTGGAAGTAGACTGTGTCTCTCCCCAGGAGCAAGTTAACTTAAAAAGGGAAATACTGGAAGAACTGTCCCAAATAGTAATAGCTGCTTGGAGAAGAGTCTCTCCTGATGATGGTAAAACAAGTGTGTTAGCAGGAATTAGACTATAAGGAGAGGAATCATATGAAGATTTTATTCCTAGATTGAAAGATTCAACACACATGATGCTGCCTTACACTGAAGGCTTGGACGTTTTATTAAAACAATTTGCATTGGAAAATGACAATACTCTCCATCGGGAACTAAATTAGATCAAGCATAAAAACAAGAACTTTGTAAGATTACTTCAAAGCATGTATAGATGCCTCACCAGCAGTGGTCCAGGACATGGACTATGCTGCATCTACACCAGGGCAACATTTTCTTTCCATTATCAGCACTTAATGGCAGGAAAAAATAAAACTTCATGTTTTTATTGCTAACAACAATGACATGTGAGTTATGACTGTAAAAGAAGAAAAAATTTTGAGTAAAAGGATAAGATAAATAAACCTCTGGAACTGTGTCCTCAATTTAAGAAGGGAAAACATTGGAGAGATGAATGTATATTGAAACTTCATGAGTATGAAAACTCTCTGAAATATAAGGAGAAAAAAATAGATGATAATCATTCTTTGTACCCAAAAATTTTAAAAATTTACAAAGTAGGGAGAGAGAGGAAAGTAAGGTGATTTGAGTCCTATGGCCTCAAATTTAACATCTATAGTTTACTCAGAGCAACCACAGGAAGTGCAGGAGTAGGTCTTTCAGTAGACAAAAAGTATTTACTTTGTCTTTATGAAGGAGTAAAATTAGTAAATACAGGACTTAAGGGACCTCTATGACCTGGTTCTTTTGGTCTTAAAATAGGGAGAAGGTCAAGGTATAAGAAAAATTTTGAAGTAGTTCCTGGAGTGATTCAGAATTCCAGGGAGAAGCAAACTTATCATTAGGGAAATAAAGGAATACAACTACATAACAAATGGGTGGCTCAGATTATACTACTTCCGAGCCAGGCGTTGGTGGAGCACGACTATTATCCCAGCACTTGGGAGGCAGAGGCAGGTGGATCTCTGTGAGTTCGAGACCAGCCTGGACTACCACGCGAGTTCCAGGTCAGCTTCCAAAGCCACAGAGAAACCTTGTCTCGAAAAACCAAAAAAAAAAAAAAGATTATACT